CATCTTTAAAATGGGGGCAATTATAGTTGGACCATCCTCCTTACGTGATGGTTGTGAGGAAAGTCTTTTGGAAACCTGACAGTGCCAGAGAAGTGAATTGTTTCTGTTGCTATTAAGAGACAGGCCCAATATTCTTTTCTCCCTTCAGCTGGCTCTACTCAGGTTTATGCCAGGGGAGGGTTAAAGTAAGAGGGTAGAAGCATCCAATGTTAGGGCTAGGAATGGCCTTTGAGAGTCTCTAGTCTGAAGATGTTTTTCCTCTCCCTTTCCACCATTTTACAAAGGAGGAAACCAAGGCTCAGAAAGTTGAAGTGACCTAGCTCTTCTGACTCTTATTCTATTGCCTTTTCCACTGTACCCCACTGCCAGCCATCTCCAAGCTGGCCCATCTGGTCAAGGGTAGAGTGGTTATTAGGTTAAAAAGTTAATTAATTGGCCTCAAAAGGGAGCTTGTATCCCTGCAGATCTTTTGGGGCCTACTTGACTTGTCACTTGCCCTCCCTCAGCCTCATTGTCCTCCTCTGTAAAACCACCTCTTAAGGTCCCTTCAAGCTTTAGATCTGTTATCCTATTGTGTGACCTTGGGCAAATCACTTTAACTCCTGAGCTTCAGTTTCCCTCTCTGTAAAATGAGCTGTTCTACTACAGATCCTCTAATGTCCCTTCTAGCTCTAGGTCTATGATCTTATGAGTAGTGGTGATGGTAAAATCGTATTTCTGCATTGTCTTAAGATTTATAGAGCATATTCCCTCTTTATTAGCTAGTGGAAATATTATTTTCCTATTTTGCAGAGGAGGAAACTGATATAAAAAAGTGAAGTGACATGCTCAGGTATGCATACACACACAGACACACACACACACACACACACACACACACACGGGTCGCAGCAGTGAGGTTCATTGAAAGCCAGTTATATTCATGCCAGTAGTTTTATGTCTGGGTTTATTGCCCAATTTTCTCTTCAAAAAAAAATCTTATTTGCAGAGATTCCATTAAAGAGCTTTGCTTTTCCTAAGTGTTAAATGCTTGTTCATCTTGGAGATGGCAAAGACATATTTTAAAATGCTAATCATTTTGAGAGAAAAAGAAAGGGTGAGGATGGCCCAATTGACAACTGTTTGGTCAATTCCCTGAAATGAGTCAGTGTTGCCTCAGTTTCTTGGCCTGTGTCCACAATTTGGCCCGCGCCTTTGCCATTCTGGAGCTGAGCATCCTAATGGGCCAAAACATTGAATTTCCTTCTCCTGTTGGCTATGAGCCTCTCAGGTCAGTACTGGCCTAGGCACGGTGACTTCACTGGGCCTGGAACGTTAGCAGGAGCTAGCCCCGCTGTCTCCATGACACAGACGAAGAGAACATTTTGCTTTTTTGACCTAGCGAGCAACCACAGAAAACAGTGGTCATTTCATTTCGCATCAGACCACAAAATAAACCTTCATGCTGCAAATCACCCCAGGGTCTGTCTAATATTTGTGGGTTCAGCCATGCGAACACCAGCAGGCTGGAGGGCAAGTGAATAGATGGTGGTTGGTGTACTCAGCGGAAGAGAAAGTTAGGGCCCAGTTGATTATCACAGGACTCATTTTTAATAGACTTCACTCATTTGTTCACCAAGCTTTTCGGAAGCACCTACTATGTGAGTGCTAAGGATAAAAAGAAAAAAAGGGAACAGCCCCTGTCCTCCAAGAACTTATTGACTTACTGGAGGACAAGAACATGTAACCAGACAAGTAAATAAGAAATACGTGCCGTGTAAATATGAATACATTTCAGGGGGTGGGAGGTAATTAGCAACTGGAGTGATCAGGTTAGGCCTCTTAGAGGAGGTGGCAGTCGAGATGAACCTGATAGGGAGCTAGGGATTCTAAGAAGTGAAGATGAGGAGGGCAAGCATTCCAGGCATGGCAAAGTCTGTGCAAAATTATGGGGATGGGAGATGGAGTGTTGTATACAGGGAGTGGGGAGCAGACCAGTTAGATTGGATCTTAATCGTACCTGAAAGAGAATAATATGCAAGAAACATAGAAATACAGGCTGGGGCCAGGTGGTGAAGGGCTTTAAATGCCAAATAGAATAGCTTGATTTTAGAAGCAAGAGGGAGCCTCTGGAGCTTCTTGAGCTGGGGAGTGACGTGGTAAGACATGGATTCAAATTCGATCACTTTGGTAGTATGGTGCAGTGGAAAGAGCATTGGTCTTGAGACCCCGGTGCTCATGCTTTCGCCTTCAAATTCCCATATATTTACTTATGTTCATGTATTTTATTGGAGACACAAAATTGAAGTTCCCTAAAGGCAGGAGCTGTTTTTTTTGTGTCTGTATCCTTAGCCAATTGCACATAGTAGATATTTAATAAACATTTGTTGGGTTGAATTGAAGTTCATCTCACCTCTGCCAATTATTAACCATGTGACCATGGGCAGATCCATTTGGAAGGGCTCATTTTTCTTATCTGCAGAAGAAGGGAGTTGGACCAGAGGATCCCTAAGGTCCTTTCTAGCTTTAGAGCCTTTGAAAAAGAAATTGTGCATAGGTCGTACTAACCATAGTGATAGTTCTCAACATTTACGTAATCCTTTGGCATTAGTTGACCTCTGTTATCTTCATTGATTCCCACAATAGCCCATGGAGGTGGATAGTAGAAGCACAATTCTCCCCATTTCACAGATGAGAAAACCAAAGTTGAGAGAGACAGAGTCAGAAACAGAGAGAGAGAAAGGGAGACAGAGACACAGAAAGACAGAGACACACAGAGAGACAGGGAGAGAAAAAGAGAGAGATAAAATAGCTTGATTGGAATCACACAGCTAGGCTTTCTCCTGTACCATGCAACTTACACCCTGAAATACTGTTGGTAAAATGACATCCCAGCATTTCACATTATCAGGGAAAAAAAGGGGCCTTTGGTAGCAACTTAATAGCTTCTCTCTTCAGGAAAGCAGAGCAATGTAATTAGAGATATTGGACTTAGTTTATTGAAACGAAAAGTCTCATTTTGGCCAAGTGAAGTTGGTGAATTGTATTTAATTCATTCGAAATGATCCCACGCTGAAGAAACAAGTGGAACACTTTAGGAAGGGGAAGGGACACTATTTCCAGTCAACCAGTGCAAGAACGTAAGGAAGCAGGGCTTGGGGCTGGGAGGGGGACAATGGACACTCCTATCTTCGTTCAACAACACCGATCAAAATCGCAGGTTAAAGTGCTGCCTCCCCTCTAGATGTCCAGCTTCTAACCTGGATTTTGGCAAATGTCTTTGTGGCTGTTTTAACTGCAGAGATTGAAGTAATATTGCCTGAATTCATGTACTATTAAAGCTCATAGGATGCTAGACCTAGATCCAAAGCCTCTCTTTTGACAGTGGAGGAAACTGAGGTCCATGGTAGGGCACTGACTTTTCCAAGGTCACACAGTAGATCATAGGCCTATAGCTGGAAGGAACCTCAGTGGCCATTTTGTACTCTTCTCCTCTGTATAGATGGGGAAATTGAGTCAGGGTGGGGGGGCAAAGTGACTTGTCCAAGTCTCACAGTTTGTGACAGAGGCAGTATTTGGGCCCAGGTTCTCCGACTCCAAATCCAGCACTCTGTCTATTCTAGCATACTGAAGAATAATGTGTATTTACCTATTATTGGGCCTTGAGTTTATACCAGAGTAAGAAGATTGAATGCTCTCCATTGATTCATATGGTCTCAGAAATTGGTCCCCTCTCTGTGTTTTCCTAGTGCCTAGAATATCTAGACCTGTATGGAAAGGAACCTTTTTTTTGTTTTTTTTTTCTCTTATGAATCCCAGAATGCTTTAACTTTCTTAATTTTTCTTGGTTTTTTTTTTTGGTCTATATGTTCTTTTATAGCATGGCTAATATGGAAATATATTTTACAGGACTTTACATGTATAATCTATATCAAATTGCTTGTCTTCTCAAGGAGTGGGGAGGAGAGGCAGGGAGGGAGAGAATTTGGAACTCAAAAATTTCAAAAATGAATGTTAAAATTTTTTACATGTAATTGAAAAAATGAAATAAAAAAGAATCCCAGAATGTTGGGATTGGAAGTGACCTTCCAGACCATCTAGTTTAGTCCGAGCCATAGCTATGGGTTTTGTGCCTGGAGCAATGGGGGAGGGTGGAGGGGAAGGTTGGGGAGAAAGAAGCTCATCGGTGCTTTGGCCATCTAAATGAAGAACTCAGGACATCAGGAGGTTTCTGTGCTGCTGAAGGGCTGATTACTTCTGGGTAGGGGAGGAGGGCAGGGGACCAAAGTGGGAGGAGGCTTCTGGGAGGAAAAACATGCTCACTCCGGGATGGTTCTGTCTGTATTGCCTCCTAAATCCCAGCATCCTCGGACAAAGCTGCCTTTGCCCCACTCCAGCCCTAAGTCTTCCCTGCCACCCCCAGCTCTGAGTCTTATCCCTACTCTCATTTTTCAGAGGAGGAAACTGAGACCAAATAGAAATGACTTGCCCAAGGCCACACAGCTCTAAGGGACAGAGCAAAACCCAGGTCACAGAATTTTAGAATGTCAGAGGTAGGAAAAGGTATCTTATAAATTACCTAATGTAGCCTCTTCATATTACAGATTGGAAAACTAAGGCCCCAGGGGTGGGGAGGGGGAAGGGTCTTGTCCAGGGGTGGGGAAGCTACAGCCTTGAGGCCACATGTGGCCTGAATCTAGTTTGGATTCAGTCAAAGGGCCACACTTGAGGACCTAGAGGGCCACATGTAACCTCAAGGCAACAGGTTCCCCACCCCTGGTCTTGCCTAATTTCATAAAGCTAGCTAGTGACAGAAATGCTGGGGTTGTGCCATGCCCCACTCCACCCCACCTCCCTGGCCTTGGTTTTGTTCTCCTTTGAGTGGGTGTTCAAGGGGGCTCATTGCACGAGTGCACAAGTACACGCCTCAGATGAGCTTGCCTTGCTGTGGTGACAGTCTCTGGCTTGAAGGGGTTTGCCAGAGGCCCTGTCATGAAGCCTGCCTTCTCCTTTTATTTTAGTTGTTGTAAGAGCAAGAAAGCTCACTGCGTCTGCAGAGACCCCAAAGGAGCCTATCAGAGGCGAGGAGCAAAGAAGAGAAGGTAGGCTGGGAATTGCCTTCGAAGTACTTGTGAGACCGACTGACTTGTAAAAGCTTTTAGAACATTTTGGTTTGAGACTGGAACTCAGTTTCATGCTGGAAGATGGGAAAATGTTTTCATTATGCACTTTTGTCTCCCTGAAACAAACAGTTCAATTTTTACTGTCCAATATTGGCCTGGCCAGGCATGATCAAAGCTGTCGACAGTATGGGAGAAACTTGGTAAGGTTGTCACAGCATGGAACGGGGTCATGATGCATGGGGATCTTAGAGACCTGAGGTTTGCAAACAGCCCAATAGTTGCCTTTCTTATGCCTTTGAATGCCCATCTGCTGAGCTTCTTTGCCATTTGGTTCTCCTGTCCATAATGGTCTCCATCAGCTTGCTGTGTTACTTTAGGCAAACTGCTTCCCCTCTTTGGCCCTCAGTTCCCTCCTCCTTGAAATGAGGGGCTGGATTCGCCAATCTCTAAGGGTCCCTTGAAGCCGGAGTGCTGATGCCATTCTGTGAGACTATGATTTCCTGTAAGTACTTAGGAAAGGTAGGAAGTAGGGAAATAGTAAGTCACGCATAGCTTTTAGTTGGTGATTGGGGTTTTGTGTGTGTGTGTGTGTGTGTGTGTGTGTGTGTGTGTGTGTGTGTGTTGGGGGGGTGTGCTAGCTGAGAACCTGTCGAAGTTCCAGCACCTATTCCCTCCAGAGACGAGTCTGAGCTCCTGGTGTCCCTCAGTCCTTAGGACAGTACTGGGATTTTTGCCCACGCCCTCAATTCTCTTCCTTTTTTGATATGGCAGAACGCAAAGCAGCAGAGACCAAGGACTGAGGAGGCAAAAACAAGAATTGTTTTGCAAGCAATATGGGCATCTTTAACGAAAATAGGCTCTTTCAACTGATTTACTTCTCTTATTTATTCCCTCCCAGAAATCACAGGACCAGCCAAGTTTCCATAGTAACCAATTATTGTCACAAGCCTTAGAAATGACAGAAAAAGCTTCGGCGACAAGTGAATTGTTCAGAAGAAAATTAACCTGCTGTGTGACCTTGGACAAGCCACTGGCACATCTGAGCCCGTTTCCTTCTCTGTCAGAAGAGAGGCTCAGACTTAGATAATGCCCAAGGTCCCTTCCACTTCTGACTTTGTAGGAAGACCTTGGTTTTGTTGAGATGGGGAGGAAGACTCATGGCTAGATTCTTGATTTCTGAATTTTTTTTAATGGAGTAGTGGAGATGCCAATGGGAATTTCCATTGTTGGTTAAAAAGAGAGTTAGGGAATAACTTTAATTCTTCTTTTTCCAGTTGTGTAAATAAATGATCCCCTCCCCCATCCCCCTTAGAAATTGGGATATGGGATACACTTACTCCTCAAGTATCCCACTACAGAGCAAAGGGAGTTATGGGATATTCTACTTCCATTTGCTTCTATGATGCCAGCCCTGGGTACCAAGATCAGACCACAAAATGGAGTTCTCTACATTTATTTTTTAATTTGAAAAGTAGTTGGTGGGAAAGTGACCGTGTTCAATCACCGTTGGATGAATGAGGTCACAATTTGTCCCTTGCCCCATTGCCCTTTTTTGAAACTAGCTTTAAAAGGCCATTCCCTTTCAGTAAATAGAACTGCTTTAAAAAAAAGAAAAGCTTTAGCTGAAATTGTTCAAAATCAGTTTAAATCAATAGTACTTACTAAAGGCACTTTGATTGTGTCTGCTTTTGTAGGATCTGCCTCCCCTCCCCAACACCTGTGTTTTGTACACAGTAGGCACTTAAATGTTTTATTTGTCATATTTAGATTTTCTTAAGGGGCTGATTCCTCCTTAGCTATTTGTTGAACATGCAGAAGATTAAGAGCCAGCGGGCCATGATGTTAACTTGGAGGACAAAGTGCCGATTTCTTAATGTGACATTTAAGGCCTTCCACAACCTGGCTCCCACTTACCCTTCCAGCCTCCCCAACGTGATTCCCTTCCACTTACTCGACCTTCTGACCATGCTGGACAGCTCTTCTTAGTCTCTACTGCCTCCATGCATTCACAGAGGCCATCTGCCATGTTGAAATTGTTCTTTTTTCAAGCCCTTGCTCAGGTGTCTCTTCCATGAAGTCTTCCTGTCCCTTCCTCTTGTCTTATAAAAGTGATCAAAAATAACTATTTGGAGATTCCCAGTATCCAGAGCTTTAGTTCATCTTATTATAACTAAACAAACTCAAATCTGACTTTTAAAAATGTTTTATTGATTTTATTGATGATTAATGATTTCTTGATCACTAGCTTTCCAATTGCTACACCCCCTACCAATAGAATCTTCCTTTGTAATGTATAAGTATATTTAAGTAAAAGTAACTTTTTAAGAAAAATTGGCAATGCCTGAAGATGTTTGCTTCACCCCTCCCCTATAATCCCTCACCTCTCTGCCTAGAGGTAGAAGGCAAAATTTCATCATCTGTCCTCTAAAGTCATGGTCAGTCACTGCCCAAATCAGAGTTCTCAAATCTTTCGTTGTTAATTTTTCTTTCCCTTATTTTTGACATAATGTAAATTATCTTCCTGGTTCTGCTTATTTGGTTCTGCTTGTTCTGTTTTGCATCATTTTATCAAAGTCTCCTCGAGTTTCCCTGAGGATTTCACATTTATCCTTTGATAATTATATCAATTCAATAATTTTCCATCACATTCATAGAACAGAATATGTTCAGATGTTCTCAAATAAATAAATGGGCACCAATTTTCCTTCCACTTCTTTCCAAACCTCCTTTAACAAAGAAGATCCCTGTACAATCCATCTCTGGTCTCAGCACCAAATGAAGAGTTGGAAAGCAGGGCTCAGTTAAATCCATGATGGATTGCCTGTATTGGGCAACCACATTACTGCTACTCCAAGTAACTTCTCCTTCTTAATCTGGGAAGTCACCAAGGAAATCCTCTGGTACGTGCCCACCCAAACAATTCCATCCTTTCTAAAGATGGAGAATAGCAATGTAAGGGACCAACTCATTTCATGCAAAGCCTTTGACTTTGGCCTTCAAGTGCAGACTTTGAACTAATAATAATGCAGGAGCTGCCCTGTTCTTCCCCTTCCTTCCCAGCCAGTCAATAAATTGAGCACATAAAAGTGGACACCAGTTTTGAAGCTTTTCGTCTGTGGAGGGCCTAGAGGCTGAACGTCTTGTTTTCTGCAGACTTTAAGCCAGGAGCAAGGAACCTGTGACCTCGAGGCCACATGTGACCCTCTTTGTCCTTAGGTGAGGCATTTTGACTGAGTCCAAGTTTTACAGAACAAATTCTTTTATTAAGGGGATTTGTTCTGTGAAGGTTGGAGTAAAAGGGCCACACTTGAGGACCTAGAGGGCCACATGTGGCCTCGAGGCCAAAGATTCCCCACTCCTGCTTTAAGCCATTTGGCTCACTAACCCCTTCAAGCTGAAGGCAGCATGGTGAAGAGAGCTCCTTTGCACAGGCAGTGAAAAGTGTGAATGGCATACATCTAAGGTTATACAGTTGTTAGGATGGAGGTTTCCATCTCTACCCTCAGTTAATGTAATCTCAGAAGGTATAGACACCTCAATTGAGTCAGTCACCAGAGTGAGCTGGGTATTAAGGAATCTTCCTATAACCATCTCACAATATGTGGACAAGTCCTTAACTGATTTGAAAGAGTCAGGACTATCGGTCATTGGATGAAAACTAAATGCCAAACAATGGTGAGTTCAGCAGTGAGCCCATTCAAGTGATGGACTGGCCTGGTGGTGAAGGATTCCAGGTTCAGGTTCCTGAGAGGCAATTGCTCTTGGAGAAAGGAGGAATCTCTCTCTCTCTCTCTCTCTCTCTCTCTCCCTCTCTCTCTCTCTCTCTCTCTCTCTCTCTCTCTCTGTCTCTTTGTCTCTTGCCCTCTCTCCTTCTCCCTTTCCCCTTTCCCTCCTCCTATGACCATGTTACCAGAGAGAACTGACCAGAAGCAGATCTTAAAGGCAAAAGCATGGTCACCTAAGACAGGAGATCCAGAGAGAGCCACACTGAGGACAGACACAGATAGATACAGAAAGGTCAGAGGAATAAGACTCCCCATGCTGCCCAGGAATAAAGAGAAGACTTTGAGCAACCAGGAGTTGGGAGTTTATACTTCCAACACACATAGTTTCCAAGTTTGTGCTTCTCTCAATTTCAAGCCACTTATCCCCTGGACTTTTCCTGCATTTATGGAAGAGCACACCCCAGGTTTGAGATGAGTGTTTTGTCCCACCTGTTGTGATCACCTTAGTAAACTTTTGCTAAAAGCTAATTGTTCAGGGCTTGGCTGATGTTAATAGGAAACACATCGATGAGACCTTTTGAGCTCTATAGGAAGCCCAGCCTCTCAGCATTACCCCAAGAATCCCGAGGGAGGAAGTAGTAAGCATCCACCTTGGGGTCCCCAAACTGTGAGTCTGAGCTAGGAAAGTAGCTCTGGAGGAGGTGTTCCACAGTGAATCTGCTGGTCACTTTGGGTTTAGAGTTGGAGGACCTGCATTGTTAAGCTCGTCTCTTACTGGAGATATGCTGATGGAAGGGGATCTGCATGGGAGAACCTTCTGATTTGTAGCCTTCTCAGAGTAGTGAAATAACTTCTCCTGGATCATATAGCTACTTCATGTCAGAGCTAGGATTTGAACCCAAGTTCAGTGAGTCAACAACATTTATTAAGCACAGTGCAAAGCCTGGGGATACAGAGGAATGCAAAAACAATTCATACCTTCAGAGAGCTCACATTCTAGTGAAGAGACAAGATGGAAATGACTATATGACATACAAATTATATAATCCATTAACAGGCATTTACGAAGTGCCTATTCTATGACAGGCACTGTTCTAGGCACTGAAAATACAAATACAATGAATGAGTGAGATAGAAGGGAAGAGGAAATGAACAAGCATTCATTAAGTACCTATTCTATGCCAGGCCCTGTGCTAAGAATTTTACAAATATTAGCTCATTTGATCCTCACAATAACCATGTGAGGTAGATGCT